ATGCAAATGATAGAAGCTCAATAATAGAGTATGTATTCTTTATTAGAGTAAGAACTATTTTATAGAATTATAAGATTCAATTGATAATTGCAAGGTCCACAATAGAGACAAAGTATATGACTGTAAGTCATGGTGCAAAAGAGGTAATATGGCTAAGACAACTTTTTGAAAACATTGAATTTGTGTAATTGGAAGTAACTCCAATGAAGTGTGACAATTAAAGATATCTTATTTTTGAAAAGAATCCAAAGCATCATTCAAAGATCAAATACATTGATATTTAACATTACTTCATAAGAGAGAAGATTGAAATGAAAGTAATTAGCATGAAGTATTATACAATAGAAGATATGCTTATTAATTTGTTAAGAAAGAAATTAGTGAAGAATAGACATCATATATTGACAAAGGCATTAGGATTGATAGTCTTTGATTAATAGTAAAGTGAGAGTATTAAAATAAGTGAAAATAAAATAAGCTAATTTGTAAAAGATATTATTTTAAATAAATTACTAATATTCAAAAGATTGAATTTTTATATATGAAAAGACATCCTATGAATAAGAGACAAGATCAAGGACCAAGAATCAAGATCAAAAAGATGAAAGATCAATTAAAAAATAATCAAAGACTAGGTAAGAATATAAAATATATACTATAAGATAAAAATATACTAAAAATATATCTTAATAATTAATAAGATGCCAAAAGATATACTTAATATATTCTTATATGGATGTAAAAATCAAAGGATAGAAATTATCATTAAAGGCAACAACCACCACCTATAAGTAATGGATGTTGGAAGTAAAAATTATCTTATTCCATACTCTCTTTATATGCAACCTTAATAATACTATATATTCAAACTTCGAAGTAGTCTTTCTTCAATTAAAAAAAATCCAAAAATAATATATGATGTCCAATTTTTTTTTAGAATTTATAAAATATTATAAAATATTTATTATTATTTTTTAAAGTTTTTTCTTTAATTATACAATTAACTTCTAAAAAAAATTAAAATAGTATAAAAATATAGAAGCATCATTCTAAAGTTTGAACATAGCTTCTATCTTAATTCTTATTTTGTATTGCTTAAATTTATCAAAACTATTTTTTATAAAAAAAAATACATTAGAATTTGTATTAAAAGGAGTTATATTACAAATGAATGAACATAATAGACTCAACTCTATTATTTTTCATTTGAAAAAAAATCTCAAGCATAGAGATTAATTATAAGATCTACAATAAAGAACTTCTTATTATTGTAGATATATTCTAAGAATGGCATTATTACCTAGAAGGCACTTATCATCCCATCACATTATATTCATTACAAGAATTAGCACCAACTTATTTATTGTTATTAGTATTAGTCCATCAAATTGATGGCTCTAACTTTCAATCTCACATTATTTATATTGATCTTGATGTTATCCCGCTTATTGTCTATGAACAACAAATAAAGAAAAATCAAGAGTAGTATTTTTTATCCATGTACCAAATTATAAAGGTATGAGTTGGATATCTTTCATGTTTAAGTCCATTTTTATTATTATGTAAAATTCTAATATTTTTCTTGAAAATTCTTTTACTATTGTATTATGAATATATATATATATATATATATATATATATATATATATATATATATATATATATATATATATATATTTAAATATCTTAATGATTAATTTCATATATCAAAATATATTTTAATGCTTCATTTATACATTTGATTTATATATTAGTTTTAAAATATAATTGAAAATATAATTTAAATTCAAAGTTTAGTATTTTAAAGAATATTTTTTAAAATTTTGAAATAAATAAAGTTTCTTGATTTATTTTAATATCAATTAAAAGTCTAAAATATAAGTAAGTATTATTGAAAAAAGATTTGTTTTTTTTGTATTCACAAAAGTATTTGTACAAAACAAAAAATCTCTTATGTTGATTCTATAATATATGATTATAAAATTAATTTTTAAAAACCTAAATTTAAAAGTTTAGCAATAAAATCCTTTGATATAAATGATAATGATTATTATAGAATATATAAAAGTTGAAGAAGTCCATATAATCTATACTGTAAAGTTTTTATCTAAAGAAAAGTATTGCTAGTCCAAAAAAATATTTTTTATATTTGATGCCTCTAAAAAATATTTTAAGTTATGTAAATATTATTTATTATTAAAATTATTTTATTTAAATCTAAATATGCTATAATAATTATATTTTTTAATATCTAAAAATAATAAGAGAATCAATTGATGTATTCAATTAAACTTCTTTAAGAAAAATTATATTAATTAAAATTGTTGATCACATAATTAAAATATATAATTTCTTTAGTTTTAATATGATGGTTTTGTAATAATTAAATACAACATCCTTCTTGTTTGGTAGAAGATATGAACATCTACATAAGGTATCCAATTAGCCTTGTGTTTTTTCTAAGACTATATAATATTAAAAATAAATTGTGATTATGACATGCTTTAAGTGGATTTTCAAAAATTCAAAATACATGTTAGCATAAAAAATTGAAATTCTTATGATTGGTATAAACTATGAGGAGATTAGAAGTGCTTTCTAAATTGTGACATTACTTTCAAAATGTATCTAAAATTCTAAAATGTTCTTTGTTATAGATTTTATACTTAATCTTTGTTGCAAAAAAAGAAATCAAAGAAAAAATCAATGTAAGAAGATCCTATCTATCATTTGCAACCATTTTTAATAAAATTACCTCTAATGCAAAATTTTATACATCTAATTGTATAAAAAAAAATTACATTAAGTTTATTTGACGAAATCAAATATAAGATACAATAAGTATTTTTCTTCAATCTTAGAATATTACTTGTACAGTACATTCTCAATTGAATATGTCTTTACAAGTTGATCACATGAGTAGGGCACCATCTTTAAAAAAAAGTTTAAATAAGCATCCAATAATAGTTTTCAAATTGCAAAACAATTTCAACATCACATGCAGTACTTGGAGTTCTGTATTCTATGATAGTTGCATGTTCTTGGAATTCAATCATAAAGAGTCTTTTTAGATAAAATGTTAAACATATTTTACTTCAGTTGAATAAATTACATATTTCTTTCATTTCCAAGTTTTTGTAAATGAGACAAACATATGAATACACTTCTGAATTTCTAAATAACAGCTGGGTACAACAAATTTTTATGATTCACTTTAATTTGTGAGGAAAGGACCTAGGACAATATTGCTACTACAATTGTTATCAATACCTTCCCTACTAATTTTTTGTAGTTTTAGAATTTTTTCTACCAATTCTAGTATTTGTATTCAATTTTAAGAGATGAGATATGTATTAAACATGCATAATATACATTACAATGTAGTTATAGAATTGACTACTTGCACATAGAATATGGCCAAAATCCAATTTCATCCAATTTTTATATTATGATGAAGTAACGCACATAGCATCGAAAAACATATGGAGATATTATAATTCACCTGAAGTGATTCAATTGGTAAAGAATAAGTTTGTTGGAATTGCTTTTAGGGTCTGTGCACCGCACTGCAACACTTTTAAGTTGACATTACCACAAGCTCGGCAGGGGATGACTGTGGTGGTTTGATCAGTAAGTAGATCAGTGTCCAGTACTCGAAGTCTATGGGGCGTTCAGGCATTAGCAAGTGCTTTGGAAGCGGACTCAGTGGTTAGGCTGCTTATGCCAAAATAATGATAGTAGTAAGAAAAAGTAGATTTTAATCACATTAATTTTTTTTTTTTTTAGTTGCATGGTTTTGTACATTCAGTTAACAACTTCATATGCATTTTTAAAACTTAAAATTTATCATACAAATACAATGAATTTTTTTCATAGAATGGTATACAGTATCTAATTATAGATGAAATCTATTGAACAAATAACCCTTAATAATTTAAGATTCTTAGTTTATGAGAGTTAATTTGATTTTAATCTGTAGAACTTTTGTAAAAATAAGTCAAAGATTGTGTTAATAATAATATAAGTTACATAATTATTTTTATATTATATTGAAAAAAACTTAGTTTGCTAACAAAATTAATTAATTAACATAAATTAAAACTATTTTATAAAAGATGAATTTCAAAAAAAAAAAAAAAAAAACCATACATACCTATAAAATTTGTATAAATATTTTGGAGTCTTTATATTCTGAAATTTTCTTTTGAGTTATTACAGTTAAATAATATTATTTTCCACAAACATCAATCATTGCTAAAAATAACATATCGTCAAAAATAGTTTAGTTGATTTTCTATTTATTTATATATACATTCAATTATTTTTAACTTCTTTCTTTATTTATTTCTCTTTGTATATGTAAAAACATAACTTGAAATACAATCAATCATCCTTATTATATTAATATAAAAAATAGCTTTATAGAAAGTCTAAAGTATCATCTTCAATTTACAATTATTTTAAAACTATTTTTATGTATAAAACATGATCAAATTTTAAGGTTTCTTTAATATTCAAAGTACTTTTTTTATTACGTTTAGGTATATCCCTTCTATTTAACATCTGATTGCAAACACAAATCTTGTTTGATTAACTTTTTGTTTTGGATTTTTGTTCCAGAATGTAGCTAAATTTCTGTCCACTTTAATACCTCAAAAAATAAGCTTATATATTATTTTTAAATTTTATTTTAAACATATTAAATGTAAATTTATTTTTTAAGTTCATTGAGTGTTTTTTTTTTTTTTTTTTTTTTTTTTTTAAGTTTAAAATCGCAATAAGCAATATCAAAAAGTAAAATAAAATAAAATAAAAATTAATACAAAATAATAAAAACTTTAAGGTGTTCTTATGTATTAAATCAGTCTCAAATAAGAATCTAAAAATGTGTAAGATAATAGCTAGATTTTGATTTTTTTAAAAAAGGTTATAAATATACAACACAAACAGTTTTCTCAGGGAAACATCCAACAAATGTGATTATTTTTAGATCGTAGTAGTTCTTTCAATTTAGCCACAAGTAGACTTGTATTAGAAGATGCAACACTCATGATTGTTTGCACTAAAAGAGAACGAAACTTACCCACACAAATGTTCCAAAAGAAACTACTTGATGACATATTATCTAGGGACTTCAAAGAAACATTTTCAGTTTCAGGAGCCATAACATACTCTAATCGAATGGCCACCAGTTCGCTAAGGATACCAATAACCAGTAACCAATCTCCACTCTGAACAAGATTGCTAAAAACGGTACATTTATTCCTCAAATCAGCGCAAAGAAAGCCTTTCCAGCAGTTTCTACGGAACCAGCATACTTGAATTGCTGCCCCCCCTACCCAACACTAGATGAAGTCCTTACATGGATTTCTTCAGGTCCACTTCAGTCTCATCGGCATCTCCCCTACCATCAAAAAATATTTTGATTGTCCAGGTAAATAGAAAAAGGACAAGAGCAATGCACACTGTTGTCCAGAACCAGAATACAAAGCCTGGCATTGGTTTGGGGTAGAGATCTGGATGCAAACACCAGCATCAGTCAGAGCTTTATATATAACAGGTCCTCAGTATGGCAACATTATTCAGAAGGGCAGACGTAGGACCTGGAAAAATACCCTTGATAAAAAAAAAACACTTATTACGCACTTTGGTCTCAGCATCCCAACAAGTACAAACACTGATCAGGGTTAGTAGTTGTTTAAACAAAAGAAGGCTTACCTCGACCAAATTTTATACAGATGAGAGTCTCCACGATTGCTATTGCAAGAGCTAGCCAACAGAAAGCTCCCAACTTCTTAATAGGCTTCCTGAAATATGTAAGGAAAGGAGTCGGCGCATAATATCATGTTTGCAAATGCATCAGGCAAAGATCACAGCCGACAATTACAGGTATTGAGGGCTTATTGAAAATTCAAAATATATTTGCTTTAGGTTTGCTTTTCATCTCTGACTTTCGGTACAATCTAACATCCGCCTAATGTTGACGTTAATGAGTATCCGATAATGAAAAATTCTTGCACATTTGGCGAATCAACAAGCAACGGGGTATAAGGACCATCGCTGCTTACCTTGTCTGCAGAAAAGTATTATATTCTCGGATAGCAGGATTTGCAATTAGCCACCAAATTATCAGCCGATAAGTGTTGAGCGGGTTCAAAGGTGGTATCCATAGACAGAATTTGAGGAAAAACGCATTGACCTCAACTGTTAAAATTATAACTATCAAGGTCAGAACTTGAACAAACCGGAGAGGACCCTGCAATGGATTCCACTCATCCTTGTCCCAGTAGGCTGGAGTAAATTGCCCAAGAGACCTCCTAACCTGTTATCCCAACACCTCCAAGCTTTCAGCACTTTGCATCAACTCTTCAAGTTAATGCTAAACGGTCATTGTGGTAGTCCCAATATTTTCCATGGTAACAGAAGACTCTTTTATTTTCTTCTTTTGGTTATTGGATATTCATTGCAGAAAGATGCCATACGAAAATTGATGTGTGGAAGATAAAAGGTTGCCTACCTTACCGATAATAGACTTCTGTCGACTTAGACCTACCCAAGCGTAAGTCTTTCCATCAAAATATTTTACTGTCTTCATGCCAGCCCAAATTCCTGCATATTTCAACGTAAGCCTTCATTGGGCTAGCTTACGGTTCAAAATCTTCAGAGAACATTATTATCAACCACTCGATAATCTATATTTCGGATAAACTAACAACCTAACAATATATAAAATTATCTAAAATCCAACAATTAAACAGTTCCTGTATCAACAAACTTGCAAACTACGAGATCGGCAGGACATACCAATCCAGTTGCACAGGAAGACATCAAGAATGATACTGTCCCACCAACATTCGTTGAAGTTCGGAAGCATATGGTTGAAAGTTACCTGCAACCGCCAAGAGATGTCCATGCGATGTACTGTAAGTAACGTTAATTTTGGATGCTCAATGAACAACAAAAAATTTGCTACTGCTTCAGTAGAGTATTGCATTAATGTCTTGTTGCCAAATATTTAGAAAAGCAATTAGCTCTCATAAAGGTACAAAGCATTGGATCCGTTCCGCAGCAGCACACAACACCAGAAAATCAGAACCGCATGTTATCCTAAACTGAAGTAGTCGTGCAAATAAGGAATAAAAATACAGGAAAATTACCTCTGCCATCTCAAAGCCCATGGAAAGGATCCACAAAAGAGGTAGATTGCGAACCATAATGGCCTTCCCCCACCATCCTAATGTGTGTGCTATGACAAACTCATCGAATAAGGTATTCTGCATTGCAAATAGAGCGGAGAAGCATATTTGAAAAATATAAATGTCATGTGTATAGAACCACACATAAAAGAATTGAGCCTTCACTTGGAAGAAATTCCTATCGAATATTGTCAACATTTTCAGTAAAATTAATAATTGACCGATTTCCGCTCCAAAAACGCAGACTGAGGAATGCACGTAAAAAAATAAAACATTGCTTTATGCCACTGAGACTTGTTCCGCTCAGCGGTAAGCTTACTGCGCACAAAAGCATAATACGAAAGCAACGATTCGTTCACGCATTCGAGAACAAGGCGCACAAAAAAACAGAAAGAACTAAAACGATATAACCAAACAAGAACTTGTGAACTTTCCAATACAGATAGAACCACCACAAAGGAAACTGAAGAAAATATGATGGTCTGCTTATACTCACATAAACATTGGAAAACTTGTTGGGCTTTTCTGGGGTATACAGTCTACAATCTGCTCCATAAGATCTTTCATCCAACTCTGAAAAAAAGGAGATAATAAGATTAATGTTCCGTTAGAAATCTGTGTTATCTACTAATATTCTGCCGCATATTGGAAGAAAGATAAAATAAAACAAAAGAATTTGGATTATGTGTTGAACGTTAAGTCACAAAGTCTAGCTAGTCAAAATGTCAAATTTCTCAGAACAGTGAAGCTTCTCAAAATTCAGACTTAAAATTTGAATAGTAAGACATGCGAGTGTGACATTATCGTCATGAGACATCAAATTTATATGGCTAAGACACCAAGAAGAAAGGGCATAATGTCGTTCGCTGCTGGTCATAAGTAGGCTTACGATAATAACATTACACTAAAGAAACATACAAATGACAAGGGTAGATCCTGAATATTACCAACACCAAGGTCAGGATGCAGATATTTCAAGAATTGTCGCGCATCATCCCGCTTCTAAACCACAAATGTGAAAACCATTCAATGAGATCTCACATAGCTTAATCCCAAATGAGTGCGAGCATAAACAAAGCGTTGCATACTCTATTCACAATCTACAGTAACTTATCACAAAAGCAGAAATCCGTAATGAAACTGAGCGACTTCTGACAACAAATTCAGTGACATGTCCGGAAGTAGACAGAGCTGCTATACAAACAGAAAACCTAGAAGATTATGGTGCAGAGGGCTCTGATGATGTCACCAAAAGAATGGACATCAGCATTCGTCCCAATGATTCATCAAAAAGACACATCGAAGGAGGAACCTAGAGGTTGGTGAGTGAAGTGAAAACCAGACCTGAAAGAGCAGAAAGGTGAGGAAGACAAGATACACTACTGCTATTCCGTGAATAAATCTCCAAAATGCAGGGTGCGGTCTTATCAGAATCCTGTAAAGACAAAATTGACACAAATGGTAAAAAGCTAAACAAAGTGGTTTCATCCTGTCACTGTCAAATCTGAAGGCTGCTGCCACACAAGCCAAGAGGAAACTGTAAACTGTCATTAAATAAAAGTAGTATTTCACTTACGTGGATGGAGCCTGCAGTAAACAATAGCCCAAGAAAACAGCGATTGTTGCCCAAACACCCCTACAAAGGCAGTACCCCATCAGGACCGATTTAAGAAACCCAAAACAGTGATTTGTCTGAAAATGTAAAATGAAAATATCAAATATCAAATATCAAGTATCATGAAAATGGCTCTGTTCAGGGAACCTAAGCATAACTAATTGAGCTTCAACTTGAACACACGGAAAGCACATGAAGCACCTTTTGGCATTAGTCACTACGTCCAAATCATGTTCTTCTGACTGAAGCGCACCACTTGCCCACCTGCATTTTGAAAAATAAATGAAAGATTCAGATATAATTTATTTCTCCACACGTTGAATCACCAAAAAGCTAAGAAAATGAATTCTTTCTGCATACAAACGACTGCAATGAGCAGCGAGACTATCAGCAATCCAGTTATGTGCACAGCAAGCATGGAAGCGCGTTAAGATGGATTAGCAGCTACGCAGCCTAAGGTATCTCCGCAAACGAATTGCAACATCAGGTTCTCCGTAATCTTTTAAGGAAATACGTTACAACAACTGCGTCTGAAGAAGTCAAACCGGGTTTCTGTCAATATGAAAACAACGACTACAGGAACGATCGCTCGTCTCTTTCATCAATATTGCCGAGAGGAAAAATACATACACAAGAAGGCAAGCTCCAGCGACAAGAACCGTCACGGTGTGAGGTTTGTAAAACCAGGCTGTCCAAGGATCCAGGTCTCTCATGATGCTCCCCGCCTTGGATTCACTGTCCTCTCTCTCAAGCCTGATCCCATCATTGGAAATAATCGACCCATCTCTGCTCTTCCAAGCCTCGGCCATTCCATCATATTTTATAGATTTATTCTTATCCTTGAAACCGCTGGAATCCTCAGCTTCTGGAAAGCTATTTTCTCTACCCATCTCAATCTTGCAATGTGCAGAAATTTGCGGCTACTTCCCTGAACTTTTCAATCCCTTGGTTACATGAGAATCCTTTCCAGAGACCACAAAACTCGAAACCTCGTTAAAGAGAAATAGCACTGTGAATTGCTGTGGCGATGTACTCAGCGAATAGGATAATTTCACTTCCCCTACCCAATCACCCCCCATCCCCAAGCCCAGAGCATCATACAGGATCACTGGCTTGATTTCTAACTTAAATCCTCCGGAGTCCAACTCCCCTTAACGAAATATCATCGAATCTTCCGCTAAAATAATTTAATAGTGCTTTGTTTGTACATTTCTAGCTCCCTACGATCATTCACTCCAAATGTCCAATGAACGCCAACAGTGAAACAACCTGCGAACAAGAAATCAAAATTCTTGAGTACCGTGTTTTAATAGCGTGTATGACTACTGGGCTCTTCGGCTTCAAAACTGTAATGATATCCAGTTTTCACAATTTTTCACTGCAAAAGCAACAGAATTCCGGGCACGATGTGCTGTAAGTATATGCAGAGAGGGTCATTTTTTATACAATCCTGCCATCGGAATTCAACCGCATAGAAAATAATTATCGCTTCTCACTTAAGTCCATCACGTAGGAAGTAGCATTCAAAACCATCGAAACCCTAGAGAAAACTGGAAAACCTTACACATTATGCAATAGAGCTAACAAATCGCACGGCTCATACTGTTCTCACACGAATGTGTTCAGCATTCGTACATTCTATGAAATGCTTGAACACAGCTTCAGATTCAAGCTGATAGATTAAAGCTGTCATCTCATGCTCACACGACAGATTCGCAATCACCTACTTCAAGGCACATTGCGCTCCTGATTCTGAAGAACATCATATCCCACTCATTCCCCAAGTCTGTCCTCATTTAGCAATGAGCTAAATCAACTCCAATCAGCCATAAATCGACGCCAACAAAAAACCAAACCTCACAGACGAGAAACTTGTGACAGATTACGTGACACTTACAACAAGAAGTGCAAATTACTTGCTTGAGCGGCTGGTGAGAAGTCTGTGGTTAAACAACGGTAGGTGTATTGAAGCAGGAGATCACGGAAGGGTCGGGATGGAGATGCCACTTTCGGTGATGTGCCTCCTCGAGAGGAAGAAATGGAACGACCCAGAGGATGACGTGTCTGTTTCAATGAAGTGGCATGCCACCCACTTGAGGTTTTTCTCAAAGAAAAGTTGCTCGAATGGAAGATCCACTCGACACTATTCGTTGTCGCTATTCGTTCTTTGAGTGTCCATTCAGTATACCTCTTGATGAGTGTCCTGTTGGTCTGAGGATCGAGACTCTGATCATGAAGTTGCTCGCCTGCAGGACGATAGCGTGCATAAAAATCAAGCTCTCCATCTCTCTCTCTCTCTCTCTCTCTCTCTCTCTCTCTCTTAAGAAACTTCTCCAACAGATTCAAGTTGTGGGGTAATCCACATGTTACACTTGATTAAAGAGGGTGAATGAAGATGTCTACTATTTGTATCAATTGTCTATAAACATTTCTATTTCAGCGATGAATATCCTTATTCAGCAATCAGACATGTCTTGAATCAGCTCCAGCCTTACTCAATACCCTTCATCAAACGAACTTTGTGGTCACCCTGTGTCCCTGGTTGCTCTTTAGTTTTGCCTCCTGCAACCGTCGGATGCAAGCAGCTCATTAAACACACGACTATGTTTACGACATGGCATTACCGGACGAACTTTCTTCTTTCTTTTCTTTTTTCTTTTATTTTTTGGGGGTTAAGGGATCGCTTGACATTAAGCTCTCTTTTGGGGTATCGCCGCAAAATTCCTTCGATACCGCATGTGCGTCAATTCGTTTAAGCTTGGAAATTGAGGCAGCAATGAAGGAGCAGGAGATGTAGCACTAGAGTGCGGCCAGTGAAGAGAGTGGGAATGAGGACTGGCGAAGAAACTATCTCGTTTTTGCGAGTGATTACAGGATTCCATAGAAACTAGGATATGGCGCGAGTTGTAACGTGTATATTGTCTGCGCTTGCCCAGCAAAGAATTGAGGGCTATCAAAGTGCTGCAGCTTGACGTGGGCAACCGAACATTCTGTTCTCTTCCCAGAATTGTATGAAGCAATTAGGTTGCGGATCATGATTCTCATTACTTCTTAATGTTCACACTCGTGTTAGCCCATCTTCGTTACGATCTTTGTAGTTGATTTGCTTCATTTGGATGTTGTCAAAAGAATGTCAACGCAAGCTGCTCGATTGTTTAGTGCGCTTCGGAGGTGGACGAATTGATGCTGACATTTGCATTTGTCTTCGAAACCTGGGCAGCATCAAAAAGCTAAACTAGTCCTCCTAATGTTCTAAAGGCCTATCGTTCCTTCACTACCAGTTACACTGTTTGGTTTGTAATGCCGTAAATGGTTAGTGCTTCATGTCTAGACATCATGAAAACCACAAATGCAAATGGATTTTACAAGAACTTTGATTGCTATGGTATTGTCCAAAATTCCGAAGCATTCATAGTTACTACTCCTGCATTTTGTCTACTATCATGGGAGTCAAGAGTTAAATGTAAAAGCGAGCGGATTGCAGAGAACCACTTGGTAATCTGAGGTTACATTAGTGAAGTCATTAGCATTCAAGAGTAAAAGCGTCTCCACACTTGAAAGCCACTCTTGTGAAAATGGAAAATTCCAGCTTAGTTTATAATCGGCACCGTTCTTGAAACAAAGTTTCAGCACGAGTCTCCAGTGTATCATGTTAAACCACCAGTGGAGTATTATCGTAAACTTATAAAGATTTAACAATTTCGCCAGCATTTTGAAAACTTGGAAATGCGCAAGTTAGTATGTACATTTGATGGTTATATGTATCGATTCACCCCAAGGACCAATCTCAAACGGTCACTATGAATTTCCCCATCAAATTCTTCCACTTTTGTATGGCTTCGTGTGTGTGTATATATATATATATATACATATATATTCATTTATTCTCAACTGGTGATATTTCAAAAGCAACTGCGCAATTTTCTTTAACGACGTTACTACCCAAACTTAATGCACACCTTGAATTCCAGAGTAGACACTGTAACTGAGATGTAGCTACATTACCGGTAATCTTTTAGATAAACAATACTTCATGAAAAGAGAACTGGAGCTCATAGGTAGGTATACAACCATAAAACCTTGATAACGCAAAGGATTCCATTTCTGTTCGACGATAGCACAACAGAACCATATCCTTCCGCAAACTAAATTCAAAGTTTTATCAATGCGTAAGTAGGGGCACAAGAATTATCTAAAATCACGAATGCAAACTCTAACCCGAGCCACAATTAGCCTAAGCAGAAGGCGATAGCTTACACTCCAAGCCAGCCCCTATAAATGACATGATTGAACCACAACAAGTTTTGGAGAACGACGTAATATATGCTTGTCACCATAGTGTAGACGTGCACGATCGGAATCCGCATCTCAATTATAGACAAGTACCAGCCCCAGAATGGGAACCAGAGAAGTAAAAAACCTGAATTTTTCATCTCCATTTCGTATTGTACCGGATTTAGCTGAAACTAAAACCTCGCCATCACCAAATTTCAGTGTTCGTATTCTACAAAATTATCTTACAACGGTAATCCATCCCCCTCAGCAGCTTCTTCTCTGCGTATTCTTTCTTCCTCCTCCCTGTTGTAGATTGCATTCAATTGCCGCTCTAGCTGTCATTCAAAGGCAAATTGAAGAACCATAGCTTAATAGACAAATCATAGCAACACATACCGTTGACTCATCACAAATTTACTCATTCTACATGCTATCTTAATAGCTTTATAAGTTGGATTGGACAAAGGTGAAGCGCACCATCAATATGATAAAACTTACTGTTATATTCTTCATTTTCATAACCTGCTGCTCCTGAAGCAGCTGAGAAACTTTGGATTGCAAGTCAGAAATTTGCTGAAGATAGTCCCTTTCCCTATCATTTAGGATTTCTATCATCTGCAACATAGTATTTCAGAACATTATAAGTCGAAAATTCATTGACGGCTAGCCAATCCAAGAATAAAATCACACTACAGAATGAACCACAAGTTTCTTATTTCGGACAGCAGCACAAGTACATATAACGAGTACACAAAATAAGAATGAGACGCTTACCGAACATTCACTGCCACAATTGAAACTCGAATTTCGCTTCGAGGCATAGTGTAACTTCATGGCTGAGAAATTACAAATGGAAAAAGAAATTATAAATTAAAAACATAATTTGTAAGCACGCATGATCACACATCCATAAATGCAATCGAACACTTGGAACATGAGGTTCACACATTCGTTTTGCAACAGATTCGAAAGCAGATGCATTATACTCAACTAACACACCACGAAGCAAAACCTGTGAACAGAGGAAATATTTATAATCAATGATTCTATACTGCCTAGTGTGTAAATAATCCATTACAGCATCACGGCAGAGAGACAAAACCGGATTTTCTACTATAATTATGCATGTTCAACCAATTCAAACTACATTGCTTGGAGACGGTTTCTATGTCGGAAACTAGGCTTGGGATGTACCGAAGTTCCCTCACACAGAACACTGTTCCAAGCCAGCTCATGAATTACAGCCATCATTCCAGATTCTTAGTATATATTCTGTTGATGTATCAATTATTTTTAGAAATATAAATTAAAAACTTACAATTTGAAGAATCGCTTGGATTAATGCCACTCAGAATGTTCACGAGAGCATCCTGCCAATTGAATAATGTTATAATTGCATTAGGTTTCAGCCGGGTCATGATGCGTCTAACCAGAACTCAACCAACTGCATGAGCACTCCGAGAACTACAGAAAAGCCACTAAATGACAGAGCATGCACTACAATGTAGACAGATAATTATTGATGAGGAGACAATTACGTGGTGATTTAAACCTGTTTGAGATCAAACAAGTACCATATATTCTAAAAAAAGATAGACGCATACAGAAAAGTAGGGAAAAAGGAAGTACCTGTTGCATGACAGCGAGCTGAAGTGCAGTCTGCAAGTGAGGTACAATAGCGGCAGCAGGTACAGATAGTCCGTTAAGATGTGATGATGATGCTGAGGCAAATAGATGCTGCTGTGACCCCTGCAGCATTAGACACGATTTCATTAGCGCCCAGATTCTATGTCTCATCTTGGTGTGTGGTTTCACATGTGTAAAGCCAGAAGTTTTAAGCACGATTCATTTCATGCACATACACCCAAAGCGGCTGAATAGCATACTGGTAACTCAAGATTTTATGTCACTTGAACAAGCAGCATTTAGGATTGATACGTAAAACCTGCCTGACGATCACAAAATGCTCTATTGCAGCTCGTGTTCATGCTAAATTCTGAAGACCTATGACGACACGATAAACACGGAGATCTACAATTGAAGACCAAGGACCAAGTCCTTGGAATGTCTGTGTACAAGTGTACATGTCTGTGATCTGGGACTAGTAGTTCGGCATTTTGCAAACTACGCCTACTTTCATAGATTTTTAGGAAAGCTATATAAAAAAAGATATACACATTCCTCTTATGAATACAGGACTCGAAAATCCTATACCTATCAACATAAATTCAACAGCGAAAGATGGGAAATAGTCGACTAGGAATGATTGATGCGTGAATCAAAGTAGTTGCCAGTCCAACCAACCTGTGAGCACGTACTTCGCCGTGAGCTAACATGTGGTAGGTCCTACAGCAGTGAAAATCAGACAATCGTTACTCTTAAATGCCATATCGAGAAGGAACCCGTCAAGGAGAAGCAAATAAAAGTTACACAACCCATAAACTGTACAACTGTAAGTTGAAATACAAGATTAAAAGAAACGAGAAGAGTGAGGAGGAAAGGGGAAGGGAGGGGAAAGGAAATTAAATTAAAAAGAAAATTAATAAAAACCTAAATTGTTTCTCAAGGTTGACTCTTCCATCACGATGTACAAAACACTTAAGTGTACACGGAATAATTCCACGACTAGTACATTCATACCTCTACACCTCCATCGTTGGATGTAACTGAAAAGCGACCTTTCTGAACAATTGGCGCTTTCAGTGTAGGTCCCTTAAGTTTCTCCTCCAACGCATCCTTAGAAACTGTAACAAGTCAACCAGGCACGTATGTGTACACTGATCTTGAGTATCATACATGAAATGAGAAGGTCACCTTGCCAAAACCATCATCAGTCCAACCTAATATTACACCGCCTGTCTATTCTCCTATCATAGCACACCGTATAGACGTATCATTGCTGTCCAAGGATCCACGGCAAACTACCTTGTTCAATGACAGTGTATTGCAACACCCAAGAGAAGAGATATTTAAGAGAATAAATTATATACCAGTAGGAGGCCTGGAAACACCATTGGATAGTCGATGATCACCGGTGGGCAACAGAGGTCCGCTAAAGGATCCGCGTTCACTTACTCTTCCATGCCGATGCTCCCTGTACAGAAAAGCGTCTGGGTTAACATGCGTCAAACATCTGCGACGCATATGTCCGCGAGAAAATTCAATAGTATGTGCGAGTTAGCACTTTTGCCACTCTCCGACTTCAACAGCTAAGGTTCTCCTTGGCGTCGTATAAGGTGACTAAGCCAGCTAAACCTTTAAACCGACAGAATGGTGAAAAAACAATGCAGAGATTTGAAAAAACGATGCACTAACTCCAATATTAGCGAAATACTTGGTCAAAAATGATAAAGTTGAATCTCATGAAGAATCGACAACACAACATGTGCACAAATGTGAAGCGAAACTAGATAACGGGATATGAGGCATGTGAAAATGAATGACCTGTCTCGCTCATCATCTCGTCCGCGTCCACCACATAAAACTCTTTCAGGTACAAGAGGACCACTACCACCTCTACGACTGTCATCTCGTCCCCGATCTTCATAAGAGCCTGTGTCTTCCCGCTCTTTCCTTGTTTGATCTCTTTCAAACCCTCGGCGACTAGGTGAATAATGCCAACCTGGGCTCTCCATGTCGTTGTCATCTTCAAAAACATCGAAGCGACCTCTGAAATAACCACAACATCAAAAGTCAAATACGATGGGAAAACTTTTCACGACCCAACTCCAACAGAAACGAAAAGAAGGTTATTGACATGATTCAAGGAAGACCGAAACAAGTATAATAATTTCAAACGTAGAGATTACTCCGCACATGTGCTTTGGCTCCTTCCTTACAGACACGCCAGCAGACCTGAAAAATACCAACGTACATTTCATGTCTCAAACTGTTAAAACAATATACCTTCCTAAAATTATAACTTGCGTCAGCATATCCAGACAATGAGCACTGTACACTCTATAAAATATCTAAATCACGCGGTCATTTAACATTACTGTCAAGGGTTGATGTGCATCACTTTGTGTACGATGACCATGATAATCCCTAACAATCTCTAAATACTAGGTGCTTCGTAGACAAGAAAATCTCTAGCGCAAAAAGAATAAAGCGGTTATTAACAGACCTTACTGCAGATTTTGATGAGTAGGAATTACGAGGAGCTGCCAAAAACTCACCATTCTACACACGCAATTCACCTCAGCAAACAGAAGTCAATACATGCTGAACAACTTATTATGGTACTCTTAGCTAATGGAAGTGTTGGCAGATTCGACAAGGCTTGGGAAGTATCCTACTCGAACCCTTGCTAAAGGATCTTCGGCCTCTGGGTTTATGTTCAGAAAAAGTATTGAATTATCTACCTCCAGTTCAAAGCTTTAATTGCTCGGCTAATAATGATTCGAAGTACCCATAGTACCCAGTTCACATTTAATATCAGACAGTGGTCAAATTCAACTAAACGCAAACTTACATCGCTGGTAGCTTCAACTTGTGACGAGTGCATAGAAATTGACGGTTGTACTCTGTCAGGAGAACTTCCAAAATCCCCGTGTCTTGACTGTGGAGAGTGAAAGTGAGAAGGCTCTGGAGATTCAGCTTTCGTTGACTGCGGCGGACTATCATCTGAATCATCTGGAATCTGGAACCAGAAAGAAAGGGGAGAAAGTGGTTACATAATTGAAATCGTTCCAGTTCAACCTTTAAAGAAGTGGTTTGTATGTAGCATAGCATATCGACAAAATGTCACTGTCAATGAGCAAATATTACTATATAGAAACGCAATAATAAGCAAACAATGTCGGAAGCGACAAGTACAACTTGATAAAAGATAGCAGCCGCGTACCAAAGCTGACTGCGCCTTCAGATCTTCCAAATTGAAGTTCCACGCACTTACTCCTCTATTGTATTCAGTCTACAATGAAGACATCAACCAGTAAGAGCGAAGCAGAACAGAAACTAACTCGGAAAAATTTGAAATGGTGGAAATTTTAAATTATAACAAAAAAACATTTTGAAGATAAAGGTGGAGTCTCTCATAAAAAAAACCTGGGATCTCTGTTCCTGCTCGTCAAGGTTCTTTTGCTGGGTCATACGGGCAGCATCAGCATTCTGTAGAAGAGTTTTTTTCAGTCTGAATCGATAAACATCACACAGATGGACATATAGTTTCAATGCGTAATGTTCAAACTCGAGCCCCAGACAAAGTCCACAACAAATAGTGATTAATTCAAAGACACTTATTGCACTCAAATATTTTTTCAGATGATAGCAAATACCTTCAAGTTCTTGATTCTTTCTCCTAAAGATGGAAGACCATCAAGAATATGTCGACAGATGTAGTCAGGTGTTCGGGCATGCTTGAAAAAAGAATGTCTGAGTAGCTTCTCTGCTGTTGGGCGTTTGGAAGGTTCTTTGACCAGGCACATTGCAATCATCTCTTTGAAAGACTGCACTTGAGAAGAAGTGCAATCGTCAAGCCATAAGTACTTAAAAGAATACCTCGAAGAGCAACATTATGCAAACCACCGAAAGTACGACCTCAAGAACTAGTAATGTGAAGTTTAAATCCGCATGAAGTAAATAAAGATCAAAAAGCACAATTTAAGTATTCGTAAACGAGTAATATTCACCTTAGAGAACCGTTTGTCCCGTTCGTAGTCAAGTCCTGGAGGCGCATTTTGAAGTGTCATAAGCAAAACCTGAGACAAAGCTTTCTAACGTAAGTTACAAAAGGCAATGAAAGAAGAAGATACCACCCATGAATTAATCGATATAAAGTCCCTTCTACCCAAAGTAGTTGTTTACGACTACTATGAACAGTACCTTCATCGGCGGATACTTAGAAAATGGTGCATGTCCATGCGCAAGCTCCAAGGCGGTTATTCCAAAAGACCATATATCAGCTCTACAAAGAAGCAAAAAGGAAAAAAAACTTCACAAATGATTCCAGGAACTCATATCAAGCCAAATTCAGAGACACAGTAGAGGTTTCAAGCATCAAACTTCAACTGAGCCAATTTCCAAGAGCCCAAGTACCATCCTGATGTTAATGTATTCTATGTAATAAATTACCTTATCAACTTCACCATTCCTAGGAAGGTATGTAAAATTATAGCAAATGTATAGAGAAAATAATAAATCCCATGTATACAGGCATTCAAATGGGAATAACAGGAAAAATGAATAAATAAATAAATAAAATCCGGGTATGTGACTCAGTCGTAAGTAAATAATAAGCCTTTTATACCATCTAGCACCTACCGTCACTGCATGAAACATAGTTTATGCAATACAAGTTCTCAGAGAACTGTTTTACAATCGACTACCTATTTCACCTTTTGGCTCTAAACCATCCCAAGAGCTAACATTTTCCAGGAAGACGGATACATTAAATCCACAAGAAATGAATAACTCACTTGAAATCGTAGCCATGAAGCTGCTCCATTACCTCCGGTGCCATCCTGCGCAAGATGAGAGCCAGTTAAGCAGAAGCTAATGAAATGATGTTCACCTAGATTTGATAACAAAGTCGCTTGCGAAACGCAGGTGACAACCTAAAATAAACTGTTCTCGGAAGATTAAATGCTGTGCCAGACACACAGCAAACAACATGAAAGAAAGGAATCCTTGCCAATATTAAAGAGCGAAGTTAACCAAGAAATCCCACCAGCAAGGAGTGCCAACAAAGGTCTTCCTTGATCGTTGCCGATCGCCTGTATCAAACATGCAAGCAGAGACACCAAAGTCTGCTAGTTTCACGGCACCTTTTTCATCCACCAGAATGTTTCCTGCCTGTTAACAAATACACGTGAACATTCTCAGAACAGAACCTATTACTCTATTTCGGTGCTGTATTAACAAACAGAAAACTTCAGTTTTGGTAATTGAAAATAGCCACGCTAAAGCTCGCAATGAGAACTGTCCAATTCAGACCAGATAAAAATGGATTATTCCGCACATTATACATGTAACGGCCAACCTCCAATCGCAGTTCTCGATATTTTATTTTAATTTATTACCTTGACGTCTCTATGGATGTGGCCATGGCGATGAAGGTAATCAAGAGCCTTCAATACCTCCTTTAGAAAGGTAGCAATGACAGGCTCCTCAAAGCCGTCTATAAAAGCCGACTTCATTATATGAAGACAGGAACCCCCAGCCATGTAGGGCATTACAACCCAAAGAGTTTGTTCCACAACAAAAGAACAGAAGGCCTTCACCACATTAGGATGATTAATCAAGCGCATTGTTACTGCCTCTCGACGAACATCATCCTGCACATTACAGTTTCAATGAATTTATCTTGTCATAGTTTTAACGAAAAAAATAATAACATGCAGGGAAGAAACGCACTCATTTAACAGCTTATTCAATCACGCCTTCAGTCTGACCAAAAGGTAGACATAACAAGCTCGAATGTGAAGAGCAGGAATCCCCTCAGTCCAAAGATTTTGACAAGGGAAAAAATGATAGGTTGACCGAGTAGGCACAAGAGTTACTAAAATGCATGTGAATGCGTCTTTTCTCGATTGTTAGCATGCTTGAGGTAAAGAAACATCAACAGCTCCCACCACCAAAGTGAAGCTAGGCGATTCAAGACATAGAAAAAGGAATAAATTGGAACACTAGATTTTCATTCGCTTCAGAAGCCAAGTTCCACCTCAAGGTTGCAACGAAGTTCGTGAATACCTAAGCATCAGTTAGCATGTACATCAAGGTCACTCGCACCTAAAACCCTAAGGCTGTATGTCTTCGATCATCCTCTGCTTTCATATGTCATATTTGCACCAGACTATCACCAAGCTACATTACTTGAACCGAATCATTCGCTGGAGCCTCTCTCTAGCGACTGATGAAGATAAACGAAATTTATTAAGCATTTTCGTTTCGTGACAAAGCCACAAAGCAATGAGAAGGTTAGAGGTTGCAATTGTCGCAAAAAGCGACTCAAATGCGATTCAAAAATATTGTAAAACAGGTGTTCTTAGAACCGCAAAATTTTTAAGGACGAAGACGTTTCTTCATCTAGTTCGGCACCCTAGCTCCTCCCTTCTCCTTACTCACTCGTCAACAAGCGGCAACTCAGAATTGTGAATACCGACGACAGAGAAATCTCAAAAATTCACTTCGAAGACGTATTCAACTAACTGGTGATCTCAAACGCTAATCGTCTCTGGAAACCTTCGAATTCCACTCAATTCAAATACTAGGTGAATGATACCTCGAATTTCAATTCCAGAAAAATAAATATTGTTTTTACAAAAATCGAAAAATCGAAAATCAAATCCACGTACCAAGTTACTATTGCACTTCTCTAAATCGAGAGCTTTGATAGCCACTACTTCCTTGAAAGGCAAGCATATCGCCCGGTAAACTGTGGCGCTCACTCCCTGCCCAATCTCCTCCAACAGTTTGTACTCCGCAGCCGTGACAGGATATATCCTCCGCTCACTCTGCCCCCCTTCCATCCTGCACTCTCCGCTCTTTTCCCTCTCCACGTCCCAGCCAAATCTCCCACTCAGCACTCTCCACAACTACAAACAAATCTCACAATCACACTCGCAGTCGCAATCGCAGTCACAATCGCAACATCCCACTCCTTCCATCTCTAATCACGCCAGCATCCTCCTCGCACTGCTCCCCTGCGACATCACCAGCAACTCAAAAAACCCCAAGCTCACGAAATCTTCGGCAAAACAACTAGCAGCATCAGCAGTCACTCAGTGATCTTCGTAAGCAACTCCTCCTCCAAGAAGCGTCGAGACATCGGGGAGGCGACGGCGGGGCTGAAAATAACTAAGGGGAGCATGAGGCACGGTTGTCGTCACTCGCTCCGCTCATTCTCTCTCTCTCTCTCTCTCTCTCTCTCTCTCCCCTTCTACCTTCCTCCCCTCCCTTCCCGATTAGCAGCAGCACAATCATTCTGCTAATTATGGATAATGCTCAGTCAGTCAGAGTTAGCCATTTGACGGGGAGAGGAGGGATTGGGTGACGGGGCCGCATGAAAGCATTGAAGGAAGGGAAGAGAGCCTGCCTTGACAAGCCCGCTCCATTAAAAAAAAATAAACGGCAACGCGAGCACAGAGGTTGCAACCCTGCCTGCTCTCTGCTATTGCCATGTGGGCCGTCTGGCGGGCTTGCTGGCGGGCTTGCGGGCGGGCGGAAGGAAGAGAGGGAAACCCGAATCTACGCTCCATCCATCCATTCCTTCATTCATTCATTCAGTCATCCATTCCACTGTGAAGGAGGAAGGAGTAGGTACCTCCCACACTCACTCACTCCGTGGCTGCAGTAGTTTCATTTTATTTTATGGCCCCCCCCCCCCCCCTCCCCACCAGGTGGAAGGGGAGGGGGAGGGGGGAGTAGGAGGGAGTAGTAGGGGGCTGCAGCTGCTGCTGCAAAAGCGGCTCTCTCTCTCTCTCCTCATACGATGGTTGCGCACTTGGTGCCGAGGCCGCGCACTTGGCAGCCAAGTAATGGTTCCTTGTTCTGCCCTCCTCATCCCCTCCCCCTTTCCCCCTTTCCCTGCAGGTGGGTTGGCACGCAGGCAGGCAGGCAGGCCCAGAGACAGCCCTGTTTCTACACTACTACTTCTTGTGAGTCTGTAAGTGTGTGAGTGTGTGTGGTCTTGCTTGCTTTGTCTTGATGTACTCACCGGGACTCTCCCTCCCCCCCTCCCTCGCGGTTCCCTTCATTACAAGTCTAGTCCTCACCCCATATATCCCCCCCCCTTTCCTTTCCTGTTTGGCACATTTTCTCTGTAACACATACATATACCATCAACATCATCCCTGTGTTGAGACTTTTGGGTATTTATTGATGAATTTATTTTTGAACATTTGCTGCTGCTGCTGCTGCTGCTGTGTTTATAGTCTTTTATAATACTCGTTTTTCTCCAATTTGTTGAGCTTGGGCATAGCCATGATTGGAATGGATGTCTTTGTCTTTCTTGACTTCCAAGCATTGTGAGCCAAAAATTGGTAACTTAAAACATTGTGACTTGTATTATGGTTTGATTTATTAATTTATAAGTTATTGTGCTTTCATATAGTACATTTACTACATGAAACTTAAGCAAAAAAAATTATATATCTATATCTATATGATACATTACATGCATTCTGCAATTTCTGTTTCAATTCCATTACCAAAGCATCCTGTACTCACATTTTGTTCTGTTTTGTTTTGTTGATTATGATACCTTCTCCAACAAAAAAGTGGAAAGATAGCAGAATGGATTGGAAAGCAAATCCCTTGGGTTGTAAATAAAACTGCTAAGCAGCATCCAATGAAAAGTACAGAACAGAAAAAGACCATGTGTGTCCCATCTTATCCATAGCAACTAGTCCTTGTTTCCTGTTTTGTCCCATTTCTAGGCAAAAATATATTAAAAGGTTAGAGGAAAAATATGGCTCAAATGTGTGCTGTATGAAGGGGGATTAGCCTACACCAACATGATACAATGCTCCCAGAAAACCCACACACAACTCTATCATTATTTTACTTATTTTATGCAAGAGTAGTGGATGCTGCTACACTCAATCAAGACGCAAGCTTAAAAGCTCTCTCTCTCTCTCTCTCTCTTTTCAGTATTGGGATCCAAGTGCTTGATCCCATCTCATCCATAACATGCTGAATCAATGTGCCACAAAAAATTGGTGGGGTACCTTGATTAGTTACTTTGTTAACTTGATTGTGGCTCATACATTTTTGGGTTGAAACTTTGATGTGTATGTGTGAAGCACATCTTTTTTGTACCAATAAGACTAATATGTTCTGTGATTTTGTTTGTGATTTGTGATTTGTGAATTTTATTTTATTTTATTTTTTGTTGTCATTCTTAAGTTCAGTATCTATTATGAAATAATTAAAGGCAAGTATGCAGTTTATATATATATATATATATATATATATAGAATTAAATTTAAAAATTGAGTTTACATAGATTTTTTATTTTTTATTTTTTATCATTCTTTTGCTGGACTTTAAAAAAACGGTTCTTCACTCCTTGAATAAAAACCAACCATAATTCAACTTTAAATCTTGTTACTTTATTAAACATAGTTTAAAACATATTAAATCATTTCTTGCTATATTAAAAAGAAGAAAAAATAGAAAGCATGCATTTGAGGAAGAAAATGAAAATAGAAAAGAAAAGAACAAAGAAACCTTGAACATTTTAACTAGAAAAAGTTATTAGTCACTTAAATGAATTAGAAATTTTAGTTTTAAAATTTTCTACATATTTTTCTTATTGAAATTTTGTAAGAAATATATATTTTTTAATTTATACTTAATCATAAAATAATATTGTAAATCTTTTAGAACAAAAAAAATTGTTAAAATATTATATTTAATTTACAATAAGTAGCATTGTTTTCATTTTTATCTTAGACTATACTAGCTTGTAAATAGTTATGTCAATAAATATATATATATATATATATATATATATATATATATATAAGTTTTTAGTTATATTCTATAGACATATACATCTATTAGATTTTTATTCCTATTCTAGAAATGCAATCAAAAAAATATATCTTCTTTTTAAAGTTTGCCAAACAATTGGAAAAGATACTTTTATGCATTTATATTTTGTTTGATATTATCCTTGGTTGCAAACTACATTGATTTGACATCAACATGTATCTCTTTTATATTATAATATATTATTTTAAAAAAACCAATTAACAATATTAATGACAAGATTATTGTTTGTATCTAAATTGTTTATAAAATCATCTCTTCTACAACTCTCCATATGATTGATTATTTTTAAAAGTTTTTATAAGAGTTTTAGTTAAACATACAATATTTCTAAGTTAAACTTTTCTATAAAAAAATCCTTCATTCTTCAACAAAAGCTATTGCTTAGTTCAAGGTTAAATTACTAGACTTGTTGGACATACATACAATTCCAAAAAAGTAAAAGAATGTTTATTAGTAGCATTGGCCTTTTGTATACATGGAGTAATTACAATACTTTTAGTATTACAAATTTATCAAAAAGAAACAATATGAAGCTTGCTTCACATAGCATCTTTATTTAAACTTAAATATTTACTTATCTAAATAATTTAGACTTATTCATGATTCTATATTCTAGAAGGAAGTCAAGACTTTATTGATTTCAATTGATAGAGTTAAAAAACCTTTTTCAAAATTTAATAGAATATTCAAATAATTCTACTTCTTATACACATTTAAATTAATTTTAAAAATATATATCATTGAATTGATAGAACTATTGTAATAATATGTAGTTAAACACCATTTACAATAATAAATTCTTTTTGGTTTTGCATAATTTGTTGATATTTATTCTAGTATTAACTATAACTTTTTTGAAAAGTTTAGAATAATAAAATGGTTTATTTGGTTTAATTTAAATTATTTATTGTATCAAAAAACTATATTAAGTTGTTAATTGTATATTAGATATAGTATTTATTAAAATATTTTAATATTTTTTTTTGTTTTGATATGGATTTATATAAGCTATGATATATTATATATTTTATTTCATAGTTATGGCTTAAAGTATATTCAATTATAGTTTTAAAAATTCTTAATATTTAAGCTAATGTAATATAATCTAATAAATTACGATAATAATTTAATTAAAATTTCCAAAAATAACTACCATTATTAAAAAAAAATATTAAATCAATTTTTATTCATCATATAAAATTTATTAATTTATTTTTTAAAAATAAATATTTGATCTTGTGTTTTAATTTAAGACTCTTATATTTTATTATTAATAAAATATAATTCTATAAAAAAAATAATTATAAATGAATTAGACAATCTAAAATTGACTCTTATGAAGGTGTTGAAGTACTTCATTTCTTTTTTCTTTCACAACATTATCAAAACATCACCTATTATTCCAAACATACATATATAAATTATTAATTATCTACATGATTTAGATAATAGTAGATAAAATTAGATTAATTCTATAATATCTTCTGTAGAAGCTTTCTAAAAGCTACATAGATACTACTTTGACTTTATATGTGTCTTTAATTGACTTTTTAGATTAGAAATTTGGTCAACAAGTTGGCCATGTGCCACACATGTTAGTAGCTTGAAGAACAAGCTAACTATATGGCCTCTATATAGAAAACTTACCTTATTAGCTAAGGCATGTGTTTTGCAAAGTCAACACATATTAGAGGTCTTATAGAATATCACCACATAGCTTCTAATTAGATGATATATATAGAGGCAAGAGTGAAGCCTTCTTCACCATTATCAACTCCTTTCTTACTTTTAGTCTTGTTTTAAGAGTCTCTAGTGTCTTTGTCTTTTGGTAATAGTCATTCCAGTTTTTTTTTAATATACATATTACTTTATTGTTATTTTACAACTTTTCTTTTAACACAAATTTTTCAGATTTTTGCTTGTCTTGAGCAATATTAGATATTTATTTTTTAAATATTATCATGGTAGAGCTTATTGAAATGAAGAGTGCAATGGCACAAATGTAAGAGCAATTGAAGAAGTTAATGCTTATAATCCATCAACTCAGTTTACTATCACAAAGAGCAATAAGAATGGTAGGAAGTGATGATATAGATATGATTAGAGCTTCTTCAACATCTGCATCCAATCATATCCTTTTTCCTATGGTAGAACATCCTTCCAATACTAGAGAACTAAGAGTTGTCTTCCTTGAGAAGTTTGATGGCTCAAGATCCAAGTTTCTAGAATTTATGAATCAAGTACAACTTGTGATTGAACTTCAAATCCAAAGCTATCCAATTCCAAGATCACAAGTTAGATTCATTAGTACACTTCTTTCAAGTTCAACATTATCGTGGTTTTCATCTTTTTTTGAGTAACGAGATCCAACATTAGATAATTTGAAGGTTTTTTTAATAGAATTTTGATCTATGTATGGAGAAAATGATGCAATTCATGTTACAATCAATAAGATCCATATTTTATGACAAGACAATCGATCCATAATATTATATGTTT